TGCTTACGGAGATTGAAACTGGGCCTGAAGTTTCTATTCGACTTAGTGCACAAACGAGTACTTGCTCTGCACACTAGGGGTATACACTTCATTCAGAATAGAAGGTGTAACATTAGCAATAAGGGCAATTTGCTTCCCAAAGTAGAACAAAACAAAAGCATACACAGGAAATTTTATTTGACGAAGTACTCAGATATCGGAAACAGACTACGTACTGAATTGTGACAATCGTTTGGAAAAATGCTGGATACGTAGCTCACTGTGTTGCAAGTCAAAAAAATTATAAAACTTGACTGCAGTGTGAAGACGATGTATAAAGAAGAGGTTGAAGTATAGGTGTGAGGGACAAGTGCACGATAATATGTGCAAACTGCCTGAATAATATCTTCATCCTTTAGTTAAACCATTAAACTTATTCCCATCCAAACATCACGTTATCTCGCTTTTCGCTATGCTGAACTAATCATCCTTGCTCTCTTTACGTTTGCTGCGCACTGCTAATTGTTATCACTTCTTTTTCGAAGAAAACAGCTCATCTATATGTGGCAGTTCTTGATACTATCAATTTACAACCCGATTGTCTGGAGTCGCTGGATCTATCTCCAAATCGTTCATAGAGGCTTTTATCATTACTTTTACTCTTTTGTATATTGCCTATTTACAGCCTGAAACAGAACTTGTTGGCTGTATACCGCTCATTTATCATTATTTGTATTTCACCACCTTCTATACTTCTTTTTTTCCACTATTGACTACGACGGCCGATCTCCTGAGGTGATGGGATGAAGCTTCTAGATTATATAATACACCCACGTGTGATGTATTGTCGCGGACCTAATGGTGGGAAAAAATATGCCTATGCACATTGGCACGCACTCATCGTTTGGAAAAGGTATCAGACTTGAAGGAGTCAGAAGCCGAAATGGGCTGAATGACATAAAAGAGTAATTAAAAAGGGGAAAACATGTGAGCTCACTTATCTTCGTGAGCTTATTACTTATTATATGGCCATAAAAAGAGCTAGTATGGTGATGGCTCGCCTGCTGTTATGCCACACCGACACGAATCCAACTGGGACGTAGAAGTGCGAATGAAATCTTTCGAGGGAATACTCCGCATGGAAGCAGGTCCCCAGAAGTCGCTTCCATGGTTAGCGGTATTAATTCTATTACGCTTTTTCAATAATCACTTTCATCCTGCTTTTAAACTTTTCCATTTTACCATTTATATCCATTGAACTCCCATATACTTGGTTTTGAACTCTTTCGGTAGATCTGAAATAACATGTGCACTTTGAGATCATGCTGCACTATATGATCAGTCCAAGTTTTGGACTGTAACTCGAACAGTCGAGGAATATACATCATCAGCCCTCGGTAGCTCAGTGGTAGAGCAGCGGACCGGAAATTCGTGGACCGGGGTTCGATTCCCCGTCGAGGCACATTATTGTGCGTGAATTTTAATCGTGACTTCTACTTTCTACAAACTTTACACTACTCACAAACATCCAAAATTAATCTACTATCGCCCATTGGACATTTGAAGGACAGGTACTTCAGCCAATTGGGAAGTGACGAGTGAGTGAGCCAATCTGCAACACCAGGACAGGTACCGTGAGCTTATTGACAATACGTCGCGCACCAAGCAGAAGTCATGTATTAAAATTTACGCACCTAATCGTCAGCCCTCGGTAGCTCAGTGGTAGAGCAGCGGACCGGAAATTCGTGGACCGGGGCTCGATTCCCCGTCGAGGCACATTATTGTGCGTGAATTTTAATCGTGACTTCTACCTTCTACGAATATACACACATTGAACGATGTTCATTAAAAGCAGCAACAGCCGGTTTAAAAAGTTTTGTAGATAAGTGTTTAATTTTTGTGTCCAGCCATAATTTCTTACTGTTAGCTAGTCGAATGCAGCATACATGCTTATTAGGCTACGTACAACCATACGTATACATATCTTTCACCTTGACAACCGTTAACCCATAAGAAACTTCTGTATATCTGGAATAATAAGTTCGTCAACTAACGCGGCGTTCTATGCTCATATAAGAGGATCTGTTATTGTTTTCATCTGACATATTTATTTGAATTTTTACACAGCATATTGGTGGAACACCATCCTTATGACTTACAATCGCCTACGTTATTATTTTAGTATTTATTGGTAATGCGCAGATGGCCACTGCAAACAGATTGGTAGTGTGTCAAGAGCATTGCCCCTTCACTTCCTGGTAAATCTACGCGAAGTATCCTCCGCAGCGAAATCGTTACGTCCGGTTTTAGCAACTTTCACTTCTTCGGATGACAGGCGGTTTATTGAGCATACGTAAATCAACAAAAATTACAACAAGCTTCATTTGCGAACCGCTTCGCTATTTACTCTTGATCCGCATACATTTATGATGCTTTTTGTCCCACGACTCAGTTAAATAAGTAACGACAAAACTCATAGTAACACCTTCAACCGTCTGCCAATCATCGGAGCCACGTTGACGAACGGATACATTTGCTGCGCCCAATGAACAAACCTGTTAGGTTCGATTGGGTACTGTCAGTACATCTCTATTAGATATGAGTGACCAAATTGAAACACAAAGCCTTTCAGTCCCAACGACGTGTTTGCATACAAACGCGTTGTTTATTGCAAACTTCTTATAGAAAATAAGATGTCACTCAACCTTGTGAGAGACTAGTTACAAAGGTGTCATTTCATGTGAAATTTACGCGAACCAACCAACTGTCATTCTACCTCAGTGACGTGTTCGTCCGAAGGCACTATGCGGCTTCTGTAATGGATGCACGCAGACCATTCGCACAAGGTGGATTTCAGTGAATAGTGGACACAACAGCACGCGACCTCTCCCTATTTGTGAGCCAAACAACATTTACCTGGGTCTGCATTCTAACTGAAAATACCCTTCACACAAGTCGAATTTCGCACCCCAAACGCCACATGTTTTCAATAGTTTCCGGTGTAAAGTTGACATTAAGCTTATTTCTTAGTAGAGTTCATGTTATAATCGCGGTTAATGGGGCGCACCGAACAGTGTACTGACCAGATGTCACGTCACATGAAGTAGGCGAGACAGCCTGATGTATCTGAACCACAGTAGAACAGCAGGTGAGAGTGAAGTTCGCGGTCATAATTCTGTGACGATGTTGTACTTTTAAGGCACCGGATCGCCTGGCGTAACGGTTCATTTTGTTGTGCGGTTGCATCGTGCTGCCGCACTGGTTACTTGGGTTGAATAGTCTTCAGTGGATCGATAAACGCAGTCCGCCAATTATTGTCTTCCCAGTGTGGCAACCGGATTAGCTCTAAATCCTGATGATCCTCGCAGGGTGCCTGGAATAGTTAGACGCATCACACGTCAGCTACTGATGAAAATACTTCCACTCTCAGTTTTAATGCAGAGAGTGCTTGTAACTTGTAAATAAATAAACGGTTTATTCTCAAACTTGTCAAGACACACCAAACCAGGCATGATCAACCTTTCCATGCAATTATGTTTCGCAACAAACACCTTGCTATGTATGTAATCGGCAGTAAACCGAAAGTTTTACAGGCTGCAGAAATTGTAAAAGTAATCATGAGGATTAAAGTCGTCAAGGAATGACGATACCTTGGGTTCTAGCGTGCGTAGTGTAAACAGTCAGGGCACTATATATGTAGTGAAAACGATACATGTAGTTTAGTGATTGTCGTTGAACTTGTCATGCGATCGCGCCTCAATGCATCGCGTTGATTCACCCCTCTTGTGCTGTGGCCCTCAAATTCCTTAGTGAGAAACCACTCCGAATTTCCTCTCCACAAAATTGTTCTATGCTTATTCCTATGTGAAACACTGGAACTTTAAAGGAAACTGTCACGCTGTCATTTCAAGACATCAGGTGTCTGCGTAGCATGCCATCTGTCGCCTTAGACTGTTGATTCAGTGACAGTCCCGGCAACTGGAAATTGCAGTCGGTAGTCTAGTGTCAGCAGACATCAGTTGCGATGTTGGTCAGTCTATCCACTTATGGCACCAGACCACTTGTGACTCCGGCGGGAGATAAGTTGCAAGTGGCTTGTTTTCATCGTATATAGTGTAAGACTTACATACTGCTTCCATTCATCTTTACGAGTAAACTCGCTTGTAGTTAGCGCGTTCGATACTATTGTTGGTGTTGTTGTTGCTTGAAAACGAGCGTAGTGTGCTTAGCACAGATCCGATGTTTATCAAACAATTTACAAGCGGTCGTGAATTCACTAGTTTTAGTCTGCGCGTATTTAAGTTACCATCGTAGGCCGCTAGCCTAAAGGATTACGCACTTGTCATGTAATCCGTAGGTCGCGGGTTCGCGCAGGTGTGGGAGACTGCGGTGTATCCAGCCCACGCGTAACCGATCCTGGTCGCGTGGCAATGAAGCGCCGGTACACTGCTCAGACACAGCCGTGTGTATCAAGAGAAAGAGGATCAATGAACAGCATTCAGCCTTTTCCCAGAAATTCAGTGGACCAGTTGCATTTTCCCATCAGAAGAATGTTTTCAGACAGTCTAATAATATTATTGGGGATCAGATAATATTTAGGAAGAGCACAAGGAACATATAAGTAACGCTAGTCTGCGCCGTGTATTTAACTGGTGATCGAAACCTCGCCTTCTTATCAACCAATCAAACCAGTTAATCAGAGCCGCAATACGCGCACTTGGTACCATGACAGGCTGGCTAGGCGCAGCTTTTTTAACCTATGCTTCAACGAAATGCGGACCTCGCTTTACTAAACCAACTGGCGTAACAGGATCAGAAGTTTGGCAGAATGTGCCTGCTTCCTCTTAAAGAGGCTATTCCCCTGATTGTTGATTAACTGAATGCAAATCTTTCATCACGCACTCGACATTCTGGTCCCTGTAATTGAACGATACTATAGTTCTTTTTCTCCATCCTTTATTCGCTGTTGCATGATTCAATCCCTAGTATGAATACCTTTTCTGCCTTCTTACTCTGCACAGCTTACAGGTCATTCAGAAGGCGTTTCCTATCCGCACGAACTATCCAGCTGTGGTGGCGTAGCCGTGTATCGCGTCGTTGTATATCGGCACCGCATCCCTGCCCCGAACGTGCCACTGCCACTGACCCTAACCAACCTCCCCCATCCCCAAGTATCTTCAGTACGGAACAAACCCAGACTTTAGAATCAACGCCGACAGCGAATTCATCCAGCTTTGCCACTTGCGAACTACACATCGTCTCGCGGCACACCATTCCAACATCGGAATTGGCACAGTGTGAAACCAACAGACAACATTTTTGGAACAATACTCGCTTAAGGCAGTTACATCGTCTGATTCCATATATTTGGCGTGATCCGTTATCATCTATCACTGATTCGTCTACAAAGGGGCTGCTAGACGTCATGAATTGGCAAGCCTAACCGCCTCACATTCGCTCAGTTATCATGTCTACGGAAAGATTGAACTTCACTGTATCCGACAGTACCAGTCGCCTCTTGTAATTATTCATTTGATACAAGCGCTTTCTTTATTGAAGGTGGAGTTGTGTTCTCTCCCTGGTCTTATCCTATCAACGTTTTACACATAGAAGGGTTTCGAAAAGCATTCCGTAGACGATAGGTACGTGCACCTGAAAGGAATACCAACTGCTTTTATAGTATTTCGGTCCCAACGCCCCCGATTTCATTTGAATCCTGCAAACAAACTGTTTTTGCCTGTGTTATGTCTGCACAAGTACAGATGGGTGCGTTGGTAGAGGAAATCAGTGCAGATTAAACTGTCACCTAGCCGTGACTGCAAGATCGCTATGATCCTGATACTGCTAGATAGGGAATCAGGGTATACTGGAAGCAGTGGTCACACCATTTATTTCGATCGCAACAGATCGAAGAGCCAAACGCTGTCCAGCCTTTCTTCGCACACATCTGTTTTGGCGGCATCGAAGTAACGGCAGGTCATTCGTACAAGTAAACTGGCAGGACCCAGTCTGAGGCGTGATCATCGTAGCTAAAGCGCATAATCAACACTGCTTTTTGGATATACTACGGTAAGCACTATTGAAACTAACATCGTTCTTCGGTGTCCTTCAAACTGGTCACTCAATACAAATCACTATTTACGACGCAGAATCTGTCATGCTATTGTGAAACAGAAATAAAGCCTTAAGGAGTAACATCTCTGCTAAGCCAACTACTACCTGATTACGGGAGTGTGATGCGTAAATGCACCACTGCGCTCGTCACCATCACAACAAAAGCTAAAGAGCAAAACCAAGGCTAGACAACAAATGGTCGAAAAGTTAGATGTTTCCGGGGACTAAACATAGTTGCTTCACTTTAAATGAGGTATTTAACAACTAATAAGATCGTTTCCTCCGCCGTTCCTCTTGAGTATGTCACGTTACACAGCCTGTGTGCCTTTGAATACCCAAACATACACAGGTCGGCTGCTGGGCCTTAGTCTGTCTCATCCTAGCAAGGCCACGGAGAATATGTATTTTATCTCACCCAGCAACGAGTAACATTCTCTTGGAGCCGGTTATCGACTTGGCACGTTGTCGACATTCATGTCAAGTACTTGCCTTACTCATAAAGGACGGATGTTTATTCAGCTATAACAACACACACGCCTCGAAAATCTACCAATAGAGAAACAAACTACGAAATAGCATCAATAAAACAAGAAGCGCTTTGATAACAGATAGAGTAGGCATCATATTGCAGTTCGGCTTTTTAGCTCTTGAATTATAGAGTTGGGGACTAGCAAAAACGCGATAGATAAGGGTATCCGATGAGCGGTCGGCTTGTGTGCGTATGTCAATTTGTACTTCTGCCTGGCAGACGAAGTTGAGAAACATTCAGATAGTGCGTTATGGGGGAGTTGGTTTGCGTCCACAGGAATATCTGGAGCCAGCTTTTCACAATAACTGACGCGTTCGGACTTGTGGCCTTAAGGATTACAAGTCTGCCTTGTAATCCGAGGTCGCGGGTTCGATCCTGCGTAGGGGACCGAAGCGACCCTCGCAGTATCCTTAGCTCACTCGTGATTGGTGGTGGTTGCGCGGCAGCGAAGCGTCGCTATTGCGTACCGGCGTCGTGGTGATGCCTGATGACGCGGCCTTACCATTGCTGATGGTGAGCCCTAACTTGGTCGCAGTTGAAACGAACTCCGTCGTCCCACGTTACACTCATCCTGGCTGTGTGCCTACAACGCGCGGCAGTCGGTAAACAACAATATCCGGATGGTTGTCCCAAACCTTCGGGTTCTGGACTCGAAGCAATGCGTGTTCAGCCACCCGCCATCAACGCGGCGTTCCAAACGTACACCGTATTCACAAACATTGAGAGCACAATACGTCATGGCAGCTACGTAGATATTAAGCATAGTCGGGGCTAAGACAGGTTTTTATTCACAGAGACAACATCGAAGACATCCAAGGTTTGCTCACATCGCTGCGCCTTTTCAAACCACTTCGAAGGCAGCCAATTATAAACCCAAACTTACAAGCACTGGGTAGAGCGCTTCGCGGTTTACTGTGACGAAATTGTTGGGGGACTCGGCGGACAGCGAGTGCAAGAGTTGGTTTTTTCATGGCACTTCTTAAGTTGGACAGCCGCGAACACCATATATATATTGTGCTGCAGCCCGGACGTAATCCACACCACTCCTCAGTCACGTCTGCTTCAAGGAAGTGAGGGACGAGTCGGTTGAGCAACATTCTAGCAGTAGCCTTCCCGACGCAGCTGTTGTGTATTGCTTCCTTTACCATTGCACTGTGGTCACACAAAGGCATCTTTCAGCTCGACTGTCACCTGTTCTTCAATCCAAATGCGTTCCACCAAGTAGTGCACGTAGCATAGTTGGTATGCCGATGTTCAGTACTTCTTTCGGTATTCCGTCGGCACCGGCACATTTATCGTTTCGCAGTTGAGCAAATACTCTCCGCGAAACGAATCCATCTCCGATTTTCCGGAGTCCTTACGTACCGAAGTGTTGCATTCTTCTCTGACGTCAATGCGCCAGTGGTCGCACTGCTGTCATCAAATTAATCGGGCAATCTACGCTTCGCGCGCCCGAGCGTCCCCTCAGTCGCAACGGTCATCTGCTCCTTCAGGTGGTCGCATAGGTCACTGGCTGAAGCAATGGAGTCGACATCGCATTCTCCCCTCGCTTCCACTCTATCACATTTAGGGGACAAACATTAAGTTTCCAACAGTTCGTAGCGGAACGGTAGCTGAGTTTACGAAAAAAGTATGCAATTTGGTGCGCACCAACTTGTGATCAGCTCCACATTTATTTCAGAAAACTTGGTAAACGACCGGTTAATACATTAACCGGTTGTTTACCAAGTTTTCTGAAATGATGACTCCCCGATCGGTTCCAAATATGTTCCAAAATATTGAGCTCCACATTTAGTCAAACATAGCACACACTTCACGCAACTAGCGATGGCGTGCGGTAACATTCGAGCAGGTGAGCGTGACCACCCAGTGGTTGCGTCCAAATCACAATATCATTGTCACTCAGTGGGAACTATGTGATTGTGATCGTCAGGCACCCAGTGAGAGTAAGCGGTCACTGATTCCATTGGCTAGGTCAATACCTTGCGGCCAGCCACCTCTACCCGCACTGGCGTCACGGAAGACGCGCGTTGGAATCACATAGCAGCAATAACCTATCGCTTATCGGAACGTGCCATATCACGGAAGACAAATTGGAGTTAAGCTCACCTTTTGCGTCATTAAAATAACACATGTTGAGACTCTACGTGCTAATAGAAGTTACGAACCTACTCCTTCCGAGGCGTACTCTAAGTGTTATCAACATTGGGCCTGTTACTCCGTTCTTCTATCAGCTGACCGTTTAGGCGGTCGGATATTGAAAATCCGGCACCATGCTTACGTGGTGTTGTGGTGGCGTTTCCTGCCAAACAGATGTAGCCAGCACCATGCTCGTGAATCTTGCCTTGGTAAACAAACCGAGTCTCGCTGAGTGCGGCAATATCAATGCTGTATCAACTGAGTCCAATGACAACCGGTGTAGTGCGTCGCGGGGGCATTGTTTGTTGTTCCGAATCAGGTGTTCGCGCACATCCCAGCATCTGATCTTGAGTGCTTTCCATGGGAGCTTAACACTAGGTCGGTCAGTTGCTGGGGTGGGGAGTCTGTATTGGGGTTAGGGCAAGAGGTGTGTCAGACATCGAAACGGTAACTGGGATGGACGAACGTGGAGGAAAGGTGGAAGAGAGATGGGACGCGTGAGCGCTAGCTTTCTGTTGCTGCTTTGCTCTAATGTATGCGGCAGTTAAGGCAACCCCTTTCCCATGGTGCAGCATGAGATCCATGTTAGTTGTATTTGTCATGTTTGAGCAGGAGAACGAGTTGGATCCTCAGCCAGGGCCTTCGATAAAATGTAGCCCCGAAAGACGGCAAGTTCGCCACTGGAGTTGATACAACAATTCAACTACTGGATCGATTGGCTTGTCCAGCAACTACCAGGTGATGATGAGAATCTGAGGCGTTTCAGTCCGCGAAAGTCCCAACAGCCGCAACGCTCTGCTTTTCCGGAGGCATTGGCACAGGAGATAGATCCTACCCCCAAGGGAGCTTTGTTCTACTTATTTCAAGATTAATAATGAGTAGGGGAATTCTTGACGAACTTTCACTGGGTCGTCTCGTGTTCACAAGTCACGGAGTATAAAAACCAATTCGGCAAAGCACCACACAACCGTTTCGCCCTACTGGGCCTCATCAGTGATGCGCATTCCCGGTCCTCTTCAGGGAACCGAACATAAGACCACTAGCCGCTTGAATCCGCTAGCTAGCTGCATATGCCACTGAGCCATGGAGGACGATGTCAGACCGTCCTAACTTGCAAGGTATCGGGGATGTAGCACTATCTGTCCTACAAGATTACCGACTGCTCATGCGACAAAACGACTGCTCCGAGGAAGCGACCATCACAAATATTCACAATCTCTTCGGGCTCAGTGAAACAACTGAAATTCCAACCCGTCATATTGTCAGAGTCCTCGTGGAATAGTTTCTGCATATTAAAAATCGGAGCAAAATCTCCTCGGTACGCAATTCTAAGGCAGCACAAGTGACAGGCGCGTTCCAATGAGTGAATTGTAATCATCAATTCTCAGGAGATAACAATAGTGAGTCTTCCGAACGTATGACACTACTCTGGCAGCTGAAGCGGTGCAAACACGGCTGAAAAACCTTTACTGGGTAGCAAGAGGTTATGGAGATGGACCTAAAGTGTCACATTAAATCGCAAACACCGATGATCAAAGACTTGATGGCGCCGCAGGTCCTCAGCTCGGAGGGGCCAAGTCACACTTCCATAGAGTAGCATGGCCCTCACTGTGGTCTTGTATACAGGGACTGTAAGAGGAAGGGAAACTCCTTTCTGACAC